TGACAATTGTTGCTTTTTTTAGTTTTACTAATTGATAAAAGGGAAAGCTTGGATATTTGAAATTGAAATGTGTTGGGATATGAAAAGAAAGAAATTAATTAATGAGAGAGAAGAAAAAGGAGTGGCGGAGAAAAGGAGAGAGAAGAAGAAGAGGCTTTTTGCTGATGAAAGAGGCGGCTGGAGAATGGAGATTTGAAATTGAAAAGTGTCGGGACTTGGGATTTGGGAATATGTAATGAAAGGAACTTAATTAAAGAGAGAGGAATGGTGAAGAAAAGGAGTGAGGAGGAGAAGATGAAAAAGATTGAAGTTTTTACGTATTCACTAATTTTTGTTTTTAATGATATCAGCGGTCCAACTGATCGGTTGAACCGGTCAAATTGGAAACCGAACTCCTGACCGAGTCAAGGTTCGGTTTGGTTTTGAAAACAATAGTGTGTAATCCATATATGAGGTGGTCGGTATAAACAGCTTAAGAGTTTTTGCTGTTCATCACTTCATTCCTTGTGCTGAATATTTTTTATTATTCCTGTATTTATGACGTTTATTATAAAATTGGATCTTGAAATTTAAATGCATTTTAGTGAGGAAAGAAAAACAAAAAGAAGTTCTACATTGTAAAAAAACAAAAAGAGAATTTAACATGATCTTTTAAGTTTGAGTCCCCTTGAGGATAAAGGAGCAAGAGGAGGATCTAACATGATCTTTCGAGTTCGAATCCCCACGGTTGCTAATAGGGGTAGTCATTAGAGCTCATACACAGTTAGTAATTCTAAGGTCTCGAGGGATTAGTTGAGGTTTACGCAAGTTGGCTCGGACACTTTGAGTCATTAGAAAAAAAAAAAGAAAAAAGAATACTCTACACTTATCAGTATCTAAAACCATGATCAATTTAAATCTTGACACAAACATTAATCAAGTTTAAACCAAAGAAATAGTTTATACATATATTAATCAAGTTTTGCATTATAGTTTCTGTACATACGTGTGATTTGCATTGATATGACTTGTAATTATAATTCTATCCAATAATTAATATATATAATTGAAGGTTAATCCAAAGTTTTGATGTAAACGTCCAACACGTTAACCCTGCATAAAAACATCACTCGCTAATTATAACTCATCAATTGTGCAGAGAATACTTTGTATGGTTAAATATATAAATACACTTGAAATTTACTTAATTTTAATTAATTAATTAATCAAATTGCTCATGATTAGAAATTGACGAATATTGTGAAGGCGGCAATGTCACCTACCACAGCCACTTACTTATCCACTGCGTAACCCAATTGGTTTGTGAGCTTAATAAATGTTTTATCGTTTTTAATTAAATAAATAAATCATATTAACTATTAAGCTAATTATGAATCATGATTATTTGGATACATGTTTTCTCGTTCTTTAATTAAATTTAAGTAATTATGAATCATGATTAATTATTTGGAATTTGAGTATGTAATTGGTACTACTTAATAAAAAATTGACACGATACAAACAGTAAAAATTAGGAAGATTAAATTGAGGAGAACGAACATGTTCCCACATAAGGTTGGCGAAACGACACTTTTTCATCCTTTAAGTTTCAAAATAACAATTTTCCATCATTTGTTAGGTTTATTATGTTTTTCGTTAATATTTACTGATAAGACAAAAATATACTTAAAATTTGCTTATTAAAATTTTTATTATTTTAATTAGCCAAAAAATCAAAAAGAAAAAATAGTTAGCCCACCTAAAAAGTTAGGAGTAATGCTATGGAATTGTTTAAAGTTAAAGACACTAATATTCATTTATTTATAATGTCATCTATATCTCATCACTATTATTCAATAATCTATTAAATTTATAATGTTTTTCATAATATAATGTTTTCATTTTACCAATAACATAAAAAATCAATATTCTAATAATAAATAAACAAAGGAAAAAAAAAATCTTCATACCTGAACTAATAAATAATCGAGTAAAGACTTGATTTAACTAAATTTTAATTTATAATAAACTAATAAGAAAGAAACTATTTAAGGGTATTTCGTTTTTTTCAGTTAAATATTAACAGAAAATATACAAAACTTGACAAAGGGTAGGAAAGTGTCATTTTGAAACTTAAGGGTGAGAAAGTGTCGTTTCGCCAAACTTTGGGTGGGGAAAATGTTGTTCTCCCTAAATTTGAAGAGAACCATAATTCACAAGTTTAATGAATCGACCATCAATATATTGAGCTCTAATTAAAGTAACACATTGTTTAATTTGATTTATAAACCAACGAATTAAAATTGACATAAATTATTGAAAAAAGAAACATGAATGAGTATAAAATATTGAGTTTCTATCACAACATTGATTCTGATTACTTATGCTGAAAATCAATTTTATCGATCCTTTTATGTTCCAGGTTGTAATGGTGACAACTCCCCTCAGACTGCTGCATTTCAGATGATTTGGAGTTCACTGACTTCTTTGCAATGAGGTAGACAAAATGCGGCGAATGTACCTGAATATATAGTAGTCATCATATATTATATATAGCAAGAAAAAAGTTTCAGAATGTGAAGCCAATTAATGTGCTTTGAGGACGAGATTCATTACCTCTGAGTCGTAAAATTTCAGTGGCTCTTTTGCCACACCGAAAGTTTGTTCTGGATCGATGGGTTGACAGGACGTTTGAAGTCCACGGAGGGACCCTCAGTAGAGCAAAGCATGAAACCTATTACTCCACTGATGAATTTAAACCATGTTACTCTATATTGAATACTATACAAAAAGTAGTAAATCCTAAAGATGAATGGACTAAATGACAGAGAAAATTAGGAAAAAGAGAGTGAGGATGCATGCATGCAAGCCTTGGATAAGTAGGAACTATCGTCCATGCATAGCTGGAAGAGCCTTTGAATATCGGAGACAATTTGCGACGAGATCTTCAATGCTGAGTGCCGGATACCATAGACTTTCAGCCTGGATACACATCACTCCACCAGGGCGAGAGCTTTTGCACCAAACAAAGAATGAACTTTTGAAAAGTCATCTTCAGGTCCTGCATCAAATTAAGTGATAATGAGAACATTCGAATTAATAAATTAATTAAAACTGAAGATGATATATAAAGGAAGAAATTAGGTTACTTATTGGGTCAAATGCATCCACTATTATAGCATCATAGGTACCACTTTGAACAGACTTCACAAATTTAGTTCCTGACATTTTTGCAACAAGGAAACTTTCAGGGTAAATATAGAGCAAAAGCTAGCTATAACAAGAAGAAACGAACAATCAAATTGAATATACCGTCTCTGACATGAAGTTTTACTCGAGAATCCTCGTATCCAACAGCAATTTCAGGGAAGAATTCCTATACACACTGAAACAATATTATATTATATGAAATTTCACCGTCAGAATTTGAGTACAAAAGAGACAACTTTCGCAGGATCGTGCCTTTAAAATCATACAAGACGACGAATTAAACTTACTCAGCTGGGACAAAATCCATGACCCCACTCATATATAAAATCTGAATTTGTAGAGTAACAACGTGTATTATTTTAATAAAACAAAAGTTAATGTTGACTTTGCTGTAGGCATGGTGTTGAATAATCATGTCCTATGATTCGTGTTTCACCTGAAATTAATAACTACGACTCTGTCTCCCACTTTTTTAAACACTGAAAGATTAAAATATACTCACGTTCACCAGCATCGTGTCAATCTCGCAATATCAATCTGCTCAACGGAAGAAGAGTCGAGAGATTTCACGTAGGATACCACCATCTCCTCCCCCATAAAGCAACACCTAAAAATTCAATAAAAAAAAAAAAAAAAAGAAGAAAAAAGAAAATTCAACGACAGGCCACTGATTGGAAGATAGAAAATTGTTGTCTAACTAATTAAACAATAGACTGTATTTATATAGACATGGATTGGGGAGTGCTTTAGAATGATTGTAAATTAGATAAAAGAGAAACCTTTTTGGGGGTGGGAATAGAGCAGAGAGGAAGGTGGAGTAATCATTTCTTGGTATGAAAAATCACCTTTTCTGTGAGTTGGAGAGCTCCATCCAGAACAAAAACCTTGCCGTATGATGATGACTGCATATAATATAACGAGGGGACAATACATAATATATTGAAATTAATGAACATACACAAATTAATATATAGCAAGCTAGAAAAATAGTATGCCAAATCAAATTTCTTTATATGTATATATCCGTACCTCAAACACCATCATACTTGGAATTCAGACTTTCCTGAAATATAATTTTTTCTACCTTTAAGAAGTGGGCTTGGCTGCAAGATACATCAAACAATTTGATTAACTTCAGTATACCAACAATCATACTATCACAAGGCAAAATCATCACTTAGAAATTTTGAGCAATTTCGAGTTGCATATATATGATTAGGTCTCCTGCTAAGCCTGAATTTGCCAGCTTTACAGTCCATATTTTGTGGTTATTTATCAAAGAAAAGGAGAAAAAAAAAAAAAAAAAAAAGGATCAATGCATGTTATGAAAAATTTGGTTGTCAGGATACATAACGTAAGTCCAAGAATAGAAAAATACAACAGAATAGGTTCATTTTACAGTTTAATTATTTCCGGAAAGAAGGAGGTTCACAAAAAAAACTTAATTTACAATGAAATGTGCACAGAAAACCTTCAAATAGATTAACTGCAGCAAATATCAAACAATCATCCTCTGAACGATAAGTTTTCGAAGAACATCCCATAGATTTACAATTTTCATCCAAAATTTGACATATATGGCTCAAAAAATATTGAGAATCAGTAATCAATTTTCTTCTGGTGCGAGAGAGTGAAGTGTTGCTTATAAAGTATATTACCTACATGTTAATTTCAGTTCGATGTCCATTGGATATATATATATATATATATGTAAAGAAAAGAATTATGATTTATACAGTAAATTGCCAAAACGAAAATGGATGACAAAGATGGTGATGAAGTAAGAAAAAAGTTAGTGTTGTCTCACTGACCTGGCATACGGGGCAATGCTCCGCAAACCACCCAGGAATGGTGGGATGATGAAGCTCCTGAGTACTTTCGTTTTTTTCTCTTTCAGCATGAATCGCTGAACTACAGCAACTGCAGACTCACCATTACAAGCCGAAACTATGCTCTTGCTTCTTCCATGAGTAATTCTTTCTCCGCTTCTCCCTGTGATAATGTTTTGGCAGGTTAAATAACAAAAACGTTTAAGTAAAACAAATTTAACCAGAAAAATTATATATGGATTATTTAATTTGGTGTTCCCATTTATAGTTATGTATTCAGCAACTTGTAAATGAGCACTTATGTAGAGATATTATATATGTAAATGCACTTATGTAGAGATATTTATTTATATTGAGAGTTAGAAATTAAATCTTGGTTGGTCTGAGAATCTGTAATTAATACACCAAATATCCCACTTTTTCCTTTTCCTCTTTTCTAATAACCCATCATCAATTTTCTTGTCTTCACTTGTAATAAATTGTGATAAACATGACATATATAAGAATTCCAAATAGGATCTCTTTAAGTAACAAATAAATGAATGCATTATAAAAAAATACTATGTATAAATGAAGAAGACAGAAAAAAAACCTTAAATGAGAAAAGAAATCAAAGTTTTTTCCCTTAATTGAAATATATTAGTACTATATATATTATTTTATATTATATATATATATATATATAAACTTGAATTTACAAACGAATTCATCGAAGTACGCGGGGTTCTTTTACTTGAAGTCTTACTTTGTGTCAAATGAGTATGAAGTGTAAAGAGAGAATTAGAAATAGGTTTTGTTTTTTTAAGAGTAAACAGCTTTTTCCCAACCCAAGGTTTGCCTTAATGACACTTTTCTATCCAAAAGTTTCGAAATACCACTTTCCACAATGTTTATATTCCGTTAATATCCAAAACACATTTCACTTTCTCAATTGGCGTTCGGGGAGTCACAGAGCTAGGGTAAGATGGTTTTTCATATAGTGAAAGCTGGTGATCGAATGGTGGTGACCGATGAATATTCGCTGTTAGAATCAATGGAAATTAGCTAAGAACAGGAAATCCTAGTTTTGACTGGTCAACAATCGGCGAGAAATCAGATGCCGGAGTGAGAGAAATTTTGTAGAGAGAGAGTGGAGGTTCAAATGGTGAAATTGAGAGAATTTTCGCTGTCGAAATCGGCTTTGGGTAGTACTAAATATTAATTTTGGGTGAGAAAGTTGAAACTTTTAGGTGGGAAATGTCATTAAGGCAAACCTTGGGTGGGGAAAAGTCCTGACTTTCTTAAAGTTAAAGTCAGCGCAGATGTGTTTGTTTAGAAATAGGATGGACAAAAAATGGTTTCATATGTTTATTTATATAAGTCTTTTCATTTTCACTTTTATAAATACCTTTATTTACTTTGACCATTTAATATTGAAAATAATCGAAACCTTTGTCATCTTAATTCTATTTTCACATTTCCTTTTATTGCTAGAAAATTAATCCATGGGTTATTCACATTAGCAATTACTAGACAACATCTGAAGAGACATCATGCGAACTTTATAAGCCTAATGTGTATATAGCAATGGGAATAAGCCTCCTGCCTCCAGTTTTATAAGAAGTATTGTATAGGGGTGTTGGTATGCAAAAACGCAACAAACAGAGGTGTCCATCGACCTTCGATGGGACTGAGCAAGATGTGTGCGTGATTAAGAATAAACAACTTGGAATGGATTAAAAAATCCATAACAGGATGACAAAAGAGGTTTTAAAGTGGTTCGGCAAGTATGAATCAAGCCTAGTTTACTGTTATAGTATTGCTTTGTATTTGCTTTACACATAGAATGATTACAAGGGAAACACGTAAAGGCAAGGTTAAACTCTTCTAAGTGAGTTTCTTGTTATTGTGATCATCCTCCTTCAAATGGAGATGGAGTCCTTATACACCGTCTGATAATGGCTAGGAGTTGTTGTACGGGATAGATTACAAGCATAATCCCTTGTAATCGGATCTGAGTCAATCCCTCCCATGCTTAAGTCTGAACACTATGCTTAATATTGATATACTTATTAGGGAAGTATCTGATGTGGAGCGACACGTGGGGCAGGCTCAACTGTTAGATCCTGGTTTGGGTGGAGGAAAGGTGACCCAAATCTGGTCGTCTAAGAGGTCATGCACAAAAAGGGGTAATTTTGTTGATTCTCCTTAGCCTTAGGTTTTGGTTGTTAAGGTCAGGAGATCTCAAGGGAGGTGAGAAATTAATTTTCAAAGTAAAGGGGGTCTTAAAATTAGGAAAAAGTTGAGGGAGGTGAAGGAATCTTGTAAAATGAATGAAATTACTACTTCAGTTATCTTTAAATTGCCGCGCGTTTCTTATAGTTTTAAGTTATAATTCGAGGCGAAATCCTCGTGGTAATCATCGATTCTCCAGAAATCTCGCAATGCAAATTGAAACAAACACATGCATGATGGATCCAGAAGCCATGTGTGCAGTAGATAATGTTCTTGTACAATTTCTCTCTGGTTTGATCGTTTAATCAGAAGAGCTTTCCTCTTCGGTGATTTCCACATAAATAATGACGGTGAAGCAAGATGAATAATAACATAAGCTTGTACAATTTGCACAAGACCTTCTCCCTCGCCGAGCCAACGCGTCCTGGTGGAACCGAATCCACGACCCACAAAGGACTTTATCACAAAATGGAACCATTTTTCTGGTGATCTGCTGTAGCGTTGTATTTAGACCCTCGTATCTTTTTACCATCTCGCAACGATTGCTTGACCATCGATCTCAATTTAGGCATCGGGGTCCTTCTTTAGGACAGTGACGGACGCATTCTTTCTCTCGCACATTTTTATCAAGTTCAGAACAGCATTTGTGGCACCCAGTTCCAGGGTTTTTGGCAGGGGAGAGCTCGTCAAGGATCCAAAAAAGATTGCCAGCCGCACTTGAAGTCTGAATTTGCTATGGATTTAGCTGCAGCCCTCCTCCCACAGGTTATTTCACAGAATGGAATTTTAGATTTGTTAAATAATATTATTTACTTGGCGTTGCTTTGAAATGCAGCTTGTCATCTGGTTCGTAATTCAGTACTCATATACAAACAGCTGAATATGCAAACACATCTTCTCTCATTGTTCTGATTCAATATGTTCCGAATTTCAATTATATTCCTCTTAACAGACGGATTATTAAAACGGCTGGAATTGTGGCCAAAAGTCCGTGGTCAGGCTCTGTTACAATCTCCTATGTACATGCTTATGAGCCATGTGAGCATTTATATATTCAATTTCTAATATCCCGTTTATCATCATTTGTCTCTGTTATTTGATTTAAATTTTCGGTGCAGCTTCTTGGAGCTGTATGGTATTTGTTTCTATGCAGCGGCAGTATGAGTGCTGGTCTATCGAATGTCAAAAGGAGAGTAATATCACCAACGCTCAGCCTTGTATTGCTTCTTTTCTGACTGTGAAACTAAGTACAAACATGAACGCGAGCTTGGTTTAAGGCCACTATGGTGCTCCGCAATTGTGATGCTAAAGATGATGATAAGTTTCAGTTCGGAATATACGCTGATGCTTTTAATAAGATGTTGCTGAATCAACTTTCTTAAAAATATTTTATTGCCTCTGGTGGGGGTTTAAAAACGCTGAGGTATATGGTCAGTTACAGGGAAAATCTCATGGAAAACTTCTGTTGTAACTTTCTTTCTCAATTCAACATTCTAATTTATGTTTATCCAAGAGATATTCAGTCTTCATTCTCAAATAATTACATCCTTCGTTTTAAATCATCGAAATCCGGTTTGTTATTAAAGCTATACGAAAAAACCAGGAATCACCTTAGATTTTATTTCTAAAAAGATTATGAAGAGAGGAGTCCCTGTTATCTTGCTTCTTATACTAATTAATAGAAAATGGTATAGAAATATTAAATTTGATGTTTTGACTGTAATACAATTTCAACCATTTCTGTGTGTGAGTTGCTATGGGCAGAATCTTGAGACGAGTACTTACGGGTGAAACAATATTCAGCATTGTTGTCGCATTGGTGGTCTAATTCTGTTCTCACATTCATAGGCAAAATGCAGGTATGGAAAAATCAGTAGAGTTCTAGACAAGATGCTCTCAGTGTTTAATTAGTCTGATTTGATAATTTTTTTTCTTCTTAAAGACGTATTTGCAATCCACAAACGCTAGACTAGAGGGTGGAGGGTTAGAAGAAAAGATACAGAAGAGTGGATGAGGCACCGGCAATTGCCCCAAGAGCTGCAAGAACGGGTACGCCGGTTTGTGCAATACAAATGGCTAGCCACAAGAGGAGCTGATGAAGAATCCATTTTGGGCTCTTTACCTTTGGATCTTAGGGGTCAAATTCAGAGGCATCTCTGTCTAGCTTTTGTTCAAGTGTAAGTCCTATGCCTTGTGCCATTAAGTAGCTGAAAAGGGAACTCTTCCGGAGGTTATTAATTCATATATCCAATCCAATGGTTTATTCAGGTTCCATTTTTTGCACAAATGGATCCGCAGCTCTTAGATGCCATATGTGAACGTCTCTACTCATCCTTGAATACCAGAGAACATTCCTTATTCGAGAAGGCGATCCGGTGAGCGAGATGCTTTCATCATTAGAGGTCAAGTAGAGAGCTCCACAACCAATGGAGGAAGGGTAGGATTTACAATTCTATTGTTCTCAGAATTGGTGACTTCTGTGGTGAAGAATTACTGACATGGGCCTTGATGCCAAACTCTACACCAATCTTCCTATTCAACTAGAACAGTCAGGTCCATAATGAAGTTGAGGCCTTCGCACTTCGAGCTGAAGACCTTAAGTTTGTTGCAGGCCAATTAAGCGCCTTAATAGCAAGAAACTCAGCATGCTTTCAGATACTACTCTCACCAGGGAGGGCTTGGGGAGCTTATTTATACAAATTGCATGGAGACGCTATAAAAAGAAGGAGGCGATGGAGTTGGCTATGGAGGAGGGCTTATTTGAAGAGGAGTATTACAGTGATGAAACTCCTGAAGAAAGTAATGAAGATAGTGTTCTGCTGCCGAGAGGACATGTCAGTGGAGGGTAGTGCAGTCAATGCCACTCTTACTGGTAGAGTACTTAGTGGTAGAGTATTTCTTCTAGATTAAGTAGCACAAGAGGTTAGCAGGAGGTTGTCAGATTATGACCCTGATGGATCTACCTTAAAAATGCCCAAATGTTTAAGCTCAGGATCCTGATTTCTCTAAAGACCAGTAAGATTGTTGATCCTCTACAAGAAACAATTATACCATAAATAGAAGACAAATTGACAACGAGTTTTTCGGAATATTTGAGAACTTCAATTTAATCTGTTACTGAATTCAGGATATGCAAGTATTTTTAGTCTTATTATCTTTCCTTCCACTTTGCCCTCTTCTGAGCTATAAGAGTCAGGAATTTCAGAGTTGTTCTTTCAACTCAATGAAAAAACTGGAAATGAAGAATAGTCATCCATCAGAAAAATGTTATACGACTGTGGACATACACTATCTTCTTGGCCTGTTTCGTTCACACTTATCAAGTCTGAATTTACATTAATTATTATTGAACTTAAAAAAGACATTCACACTCACTTGAAAGTAACAAACAGGAAAGAAAGATAGAGGATACTGCTTTGCATACGGTTCCACACGCAAAAGGGAAAAAAAAAAAATAATCATGGACACTGTATCATGACGAGGTTTCTTTGAATTTCTGGGTTTCTCTGTATCATTTTAAATGGTCATGAACAGATCTGGTAAAATTCCTCTGAGCTTGATTGTCACTTGTGGTGGGTAGTTTAAACGTCACGTCAAAATTTCAAAGTGGGTCAATAATTTTTCATTAAAGTTTTGATGGACTTTTTCCTAAATTATTGGTGCTACATGCATGCTTTAAAATACTATTTTATTATTAAAATTTATATTTTAATAATTTATTTCATCTATAAATTTTTAAAATATTATTTTATTACTAAAATTTATATTTTAATGACAAATAAAAACCAAAATTGATCTAACATATTAAGACTTTTGAAGAGAGAAGGCCGATAAATCTTTCGGTGATGGAATATTAGATTTTAGTAATTAAGATTAATTAAAATTTGATTTAGAAGAGACATCGGTGTAAACTCTAATCGTTCGATTACCAGCGAATGGGGGTGTCAATGAGAATAAGGTTTGAAAGGTTTTGGTGAGTGAAGATCGAAAAAAAAATAGTGATGATGTAGGATTACAATAATGTTAAAATCAAAAACGAAATATAAATTTAAATTATAAGATGACATTTTAAAAACTTCCGGGTGAGAAAGTCTCTTAGACTATTATTTGGGTGAAAAAAAATAGTAATCAATGGAAGAAGGCCATGTAAATAAGAGGTGAAATGAAAGTCGAGCTAACATGTGCAAGTTGCAACAAGCTAGAGCGTAGTGTCGATAAATTAAACATTTTAGGCTGTTTTGTGGACGTTGCACTGGATTTTTTTTTTTTAAATCAAAAGGAAAAAAAAGAAAGTGAATGACATAGCGGACCCCGTGGGGGTGCGGGTCTGTTTTCTTAAAATAGCGCGCCTTACTGCAGTCTGCAGGTCCAAAACAGAAGGCACCTAAAGTTTGACCAAAGACATTAAGATTTGGTTTAGGTATTAGGGAATCAGGATGACACCGATATGGAACCATTTAATAAAATATCACAACATTTTCTCGATTGTGTAAAATAGAAATAAGATATTTAAAGCAAAAAATATCTATTACTTTTCAACCTCTTATGACATGACCGTCCAATTGGAATTAAAAATAAAATAAAATTTGATTTTATCCTCATATTTCTTTTCAAATGGCATGTCTCTTTCTTTCTCGGGGATTTATTTAAATAAAAAATTATATTATAGTTTTATTTCTTTGCCTTGGTTTTAAGCAACACAACAGCAAATAATGATGCACAATAATGTTATCTTTTCCTATCTTTGGTGTTTTAATGATTTGTTTTCCATAATCAAATTATTAATTGGGGTTGGTATGATGTTACTATTAATAGCGCTTCTAACTTCTCTTCTCATCCTAATTAAACTGCCATTACCAAACAAATTATTGATTAAGACACCTTACCTTACCTTACCCTAATACAAATAAATAAAATTATTTAATTTTTTCTCACTAGTGAATATATTCAATTTAATTATCCTGAGTGATTGGATAAAACTACAAAGACTCTTGGATGTATTACTCAAAAGATCATGAATTTGATTCTTTTCAATTGTTATTAAAGGTGATTACTGAAAAGTTTATTCGATTGTAACTTCATCACTTCAAAGGAATAATCGAGATACGCATAAACTAGTCTGAACACCTTTAATAAAAAAAAATAATATTTTACTTATAATTCAATCTCATAAACCTTTTCTTATAATTTTAACGTGATACTTCGTAATAGAATAGATAAAAACAAATTATTCCATCTCATTTGTCATATCTCTTACAGTGATAAAAACAGTATAATTTTACTGTTAAAACGAGTTTAATAGAAAAGGACGAGGGCCACGTTGCCTCCACAAACGAGCCTGGCCATCGATAATAACAACATCGTTTTTATGTCTTGTGGTGATCATCTTTTTCTTCAGCCAAATTGTCGTCTTTCTTCACGCCACTAAACTATCTTATCTCTTTTTCCTTTTTTTTGTTTTTTTTTTAAAGGAAGAACGACATGACATTTTTCCACTCAAGGTTTGATGAAACCACCTTTCTCACCTGTGCTCTATTTTCGTTAGATTTTATTATTACTTTCTATTAATATTTAATTAATTTTTAAATAATTTATTTTTTAACTAATTTATTATAAATTAAAATTTAATTAATTTAAAATCTTTATTTAATTATTTATTAGTTCAAATATAAAGATGTATTTTTTATTTATTTATTTAATTAATTAAGAATATCAATTTTTATGTTAATTAATAAAAATAAAAAATATTATAAATAATAGTAATGTGATATTGATGACATATAAATAAATATTAAGATTATTTAACTTTAAACAGTTTTATAACATTACTCTTAACTTTTTAAGTGGGGTTAACTATTTTTTTTTTAATTTTTAATAGTTAACGTTTTAACTAATTAAAAAATAAAAAAAATTTATAAAGTAAAATATTTAAGAATTTTTTTGTTTTTTTAATAAAATATTAATAAAAAACACAATAAAACTAAATAAAAGATGAGAAAATATCATTTTAAAATTTGATGGGTGAGAAAGTGACGTGTCACTAAACCTTGGGTGGGAAATTGTGTTCTCCCTTTTTGAAAGGTGCAGTTTGGGCTCCAAACATTATATTATTTTTAGATATTTGAATAATAAATAAATATAGGTAACAATTTTGGATACAGAAGAGTGGTGTGTGTAAAAAGTGACGCACTCAAAGGTCATGGTAAGAGTTTGAGAGCTGAAGAGATAGACCGGTGTTTGTTTTGTTTAATGTTTTTATCTTTTTATGCAAGCTTTAGCATAAAACAGACTGAAGAAGAGTTAGGCCTCCCAGTTTTCAGGGTTCAGCCATGGCAGCTCGCAGAATCTCTTCCTTGCTCTCTCGTACACTCTGTGCTTCTTCTCCTTCGCTGCTTCACTCTCTAGGTGACTACCTTGCTTTGCTCTTTTTCTGTCTTTTCTTTTAATTGGTGACAGCCTTCTGTTTGTCACTTCATGGTTTCACCATTGGGAGTTTAGCTGTGTCGCCTTAATTTATACATGCAAGATAAATCTGATATACCCTCTGTTTGGTTAACTAAACAAAAGAAAGGAAAATATATCATGGTATTATTGCTTTGGATTGTCTGGTTGCTTAATTACTAGTTTATTTTATTTCTTAATTTTCGGTGGACTTTATAAAAGAAATTAAAACAAATTATTGTTTGAAATCTGGTAGAAGTTCACCAAGGACTGGTAGAACTGTTTGGGATACATCTTCGACTGATTAGTATATTCATTATTCAATAGAAATGGTAAAATCAAGACCTGACAACATAAAATTAGAGATTTTTTACTCCATTCTTCCTTCTTATTTACTATGTGTATTTCTTCAAAGAAAACTAATGGAGTTTTCTTTTGAATTTTATATTAGAACTCACTTTGTTTACAATATTTAAACTTCTCAGGAAAAAACTCTTGCAGGGGAAGAGGCATCAGCAGGTTTAGCACTGCTGCTGTACTTGAGGAGCCAATCACTCCACCTGTTCAAATAAATTACACTCAGAATCTAATCAATGGGCAATTTGTAGATGCAGCATCAGGTAATGCCTTATTTTTATTTTTTATTTTTTGCATTACTCTTTTGAAATGATTATTCCGAGAAAGGGTTGGGTTCAATATATCTGTTGCCATGAACGTGGTATAAAGCTGCAAATTCTTTTGTCCTCAGGAAAAACATTTCCAACCTACGATCCTCGTACTGGAGAAGTGATTGCCAATGTTGCTGAAGGTGATGCGGAAGATATCAACCGTGCCGTTGCTGCTGCTCGCAAGGCATTTGATGAGGGACCATGGCCCAAGATGACTGCTTATGTAATAAATTTTCTTAAATTTTGGGATGGCTGTTGTATCGCAATCTGATGATTTCTGATTTCTTTAATGTTTATCTATGCCTTTTATTCAGGAAAGGTCGCGGATATTGTTGCGCTTTGCTGATTTGGTCGAGAAACACAGTGATGAGCTGGCAGCTCTAGAGACATGGAACTGTGGGAAGCCCTATGAACAATCTGCCAAATCAGAATTACCAATGCTGGTTCGCATATTCCACTATTATGCTGGTGGGTTTACTAGAATGTATTTTATTTAACTTTATTATCTCTTGTTGAGTGTCAACTGATTTTCTCTTACAATTATCTAGGTTGGGCTGATAAGATCCATGGACTGACAGTTCCTGGTGATGGAAAATATCATATTCAAACATTGCATGAACCAATTGGTGTTGCTGGTCAAATTATTCCATGGAACTTTCCTCTTATCATGTTTGCTTGGAAAGTTGGACCCGCTCTAGCATGTGGTAATACTATTGTTCTAAAGACTGCAGAGCAAACACCTCTGACCGCACTTTACGTAGCGAAGCTGTTCCTTGAGGTAGAATTTAAAATATTTGTGGTATATTATCTTTATCAAGGAGTTTATGTGATCATATTTAAGAAGTGGTCTCCTTCTTGCGTATTATGCTCTATATCAAGGGATGCTCAAACAATTGTAAGTAAGGGGGTTCAAAATCGATTAACCGCTTTTTTGAACCAAACCGTTTTTTCGGTTCGGAAAAATTCCTAAACCGAAACCAAATCGGTTAATCCTTTTTTTTTATAAAACTTTTTATTTTTTCCTAAATTAAATTGTAAATATAAACAATATATATCCAAATAAAAATTAAACATTTATACATATCCATTGACCATTACTAACAATACATTAAAAATATTATTATTATTTTTATTTAATATATAATAGTTATTTTTATTTAATATATAAGATATATATATTTGTAAAACCGGTTTTGGTTAACTACTTTTTATTTTTTTCTGAACCGAAAATCTGGTTTTCTGAATTTTTCGAACCGTAACTGAATCGTTTTTTCGGTTAATTGGTTTTTCGGTTCGGTTTTTACATTTTTTTTAACACTCCTAATTGTAGCATTTAAAATATTTATAGTATATTATCTTTATCAAGGAGTTTATGTGATCATATTTAAGAAGTGGTCTCCTTCTTGCGTATTACACTCTATATCAAGGGATGCTCAAACAATTGTAAGCAATCAGAAAAAAGTGTCTTACTATGGATGGTTGTTATGCATTGCCAATGAAACATGAAAGAAGATGCTAAACGTGTGTTAATAAGTTTGGATATTGCAATTCCTCTACCTATATTATTGTTCTGCATGATTTTTCTATTTTCCTGTTGTCACTTTAGTACGGTTTTTGAGCTTCTAATCAAAACTGCATCCTGTCACAGGCTGGTCTTCCCCCAGGTGTTCTGAATATAGTTTCTGGCTATGGTCCAACCGCTGGTGCGGCTCTTGCCAGCCATATGGATGTGGATAAGGTGTATTTTGAGCTTTAACATCCTTGCTCATCATTTCTATATGCATAATGGTGTTAAGTTGGGAATTTAATAGCTTGATGAGTTGATAACCTAATCAATTATGTGGACACAAATCGACCTGGTCTTTTGGAACCCAATCTGAGCATTTGCCACTTACATTGGGCATTGTTTTATTATAAGCTGAGCCGTGCTTCATTATCTCATGGTTTTTAGAATCCCAGTGATTAATACCATGACCACTACTATTGTAGCTTGCTTTCACAGGATCTACCAAAACTGGTCAGATTGTTCTTCAATTGGCTGCAAAAAGCAATCTTAAGTCAGTGACCTTAGAGCTTGGAGGGAAATCACCTTTCATAATATGCGAAGATGCTGACATTGACCATGCTGTGGAGCAAGCGCACTTTGCTTTGTTCTTTAATCAGGTTATTTTTGTGAAATTTTCTGCGTAGAGCTAATTTGCAGCATTTGAGCACATTAAAAATATAAAAGTTTGCTGCCTGTAGGGACAATGTTGCTGTGCTGGGTCTCGTACTTATGTACATGAACGTGTATATGATGAGTTTGTGGAGAAGTCAAAGGCACGTGCCATTAAACGTATTGTTGGTGATCCTTTCAAGAAGGGTATTGAACAAGGTCCTCAGGTACTCCTCTGCTCTCAGCCCCTTTCTCTTTTTCTTTCTTTGCAATATGATAAGTGTAAAATGTTTGACTTATTCCAATAAATTATAGTATATTCATATGCTGTGTGGTAGACACTCTGAAATAGCCTCATAGAAGTTTCTCTAGGGCTCAGTTTCAGCTTAACTGTGGGTACTGCTACCCAACAAAAGTCAGCACCGAGAGGGTCCATTCATCGTATCTCCAGATTGACTATAGTTACATAGAGTGCATAACACTAAGACTACTAAAATGCCTTTGCTTTCAGTCAGACGGAAATTATGCTCTCCCTACAACTGCATACTAATTCTGATCTGCAGTTTTGAGAAAGTTTTATGAAACTATACATATATGTCCTCTTCATCCAATTCAGTGTAACTATAAATTTACATCAAGTACTTGAGTTGCAAAGTGATACCTCTAATAAACCCTATCAAACTCTCAGATCGACTCAGAGCAGTTCCAGAAGGTCCTTAGGTACATAAGGTCAGGCATTGAAAGCAATGCAACCCTTGAATGCGGAGGTGACAGATTTGGCACCAGAGGATACTTCGTTCAGCCTACTGTCTTCTCAAATGTTCAGGTACTATTCATTTATCTCCTATAATTTCCTCTGAACATATGTTTTCATGTGATTATATCTAACGTGCTGATTACATTTTAATAAAATAGGACGATATGTTGATAGCACAGGATGAGATCTTTGGCCCAGTGCAATCCATATTGAAGTTCAAGTGAGTAAAAACCATTTGTTATATTTTGACATCAGTTTCATTAAAGGCATCTCATCATAATTATCAAAACTAATGGTATAGCTGATTGGATGTTAAGTATAAATGTTGTGGTCATGAATGATTAAATAAGACCATCTCCATGACACTTGACAGTAATCTTGTAATATGTTGATCTCTATCAGGGATATCAATGATGTGATAAGAAGGGCAAATACGACACGCTATGGTCTAGCTGCTGGAGTTTTCACCAAGAGTGTAGAAACTGCCAACACAGCGATGCGGGCATTGAGGGCTGGGACTGTTTGGATTAACTGCTACGATGTGTTTGATGCTGCGATACCATTTGGTGGATACAAGATGAGTGGCATCGGCCGGGAAAAGGGAATCTATAGCCTTCACAATTACTTGCAAGTGAAGGCAGTTGTTACTCCTCTGAAAAATCCAGCGTGGTTATAGTTTTTTGAGTTTCACCATGTCCTTGCCTTAGCTTCACTGCTCAGAACGGTAATATCATAAGAAAGTATGGTTGTAATTATGCAGTAAGTGACCATATCCTTAAGAGAACTAGCTCATTTCACTTGGTTGCTCAAAGGACAGTTTGATTGAGTATATATGAATGGTGTTGTATCTCTCATCTTCCTGGTTTAAATAACGTAATTAATGCGGATAAATTATGTTAAATAACTATTTGTCATTGCACGTGCTTATGCGTCTAATTAAGCTTTTAGAATGGATAATACAATAATAATTCAAGATGATATCAATATATATCATCATCGAATCCTTAAATCCCCAATTCTATCAAGGGAGAGTTGCCTATAGGGTTGCCTGAAGAGTAAACGACATGTTCCCACCCAAGGTTTGACAAAATCTTAAGTTGGTACGTCAAGTTTTATTTATTCTATATTCCCACCCTTAAAATAACACTGTTAACAGTTTTTGTGGTTGTGAGGGTGTAATTATCATAATGCCCTTAACCCTAAATTAATAATTATATTTTAGCCCCTAAATTACTAAAATTATAAAATTAACCATCTTATTTTGAAATTACTTCAATTACACCCTCAGTGACTGCGCACCGTCTCAATTTTCACCGGATCTGGGTTGTTTCCGATGATGGCGAAACCCCTGGTCACCTCCATCATCTTCCCCATCGTCTGTCATCCAAAACTCCTCTGATTCCCTACTCATTGACCTCTCCAATCGACGGTGCCGTCAGGGTTAGGTTTTCGTCATTCTTTGCTGGATTCCGGTCGATTCTGGCGATGAAAATCTAATTCGACGTCACCACTACAACCAACATCTCCTAATCTACAAAACCCCTATGTCCCAGCAACCGTTTAGTGGTCCTTCGCTGGTAGAGATCGACGAAAAGCAGCCGCATGTGGTGGCTGTTGTGGCTGGCGATCGGTGAGTGATAAGGGGTTATCAAGGGGATGGTTTTGTAGAAGGGAGGATGAGGGTTCGAATGGTGGTGACAAGAGTGATTTTGGGTGGAAGAATCGTCGGAAAAGGGTGAAAACGTCAGTGGTGAGGTTGGCTAACGTGCGTCGGAACTTTTTCGAGGGCTGCGATCTGCTAATGTGAGCCTCCTCTATAAAATGACCAATTTACCCCTGAGCCGTTATATCTAACTATTTCCCGTTACCTTAAGGGTGGGAATATGAAATAAATAGAACTTGGCGTACCAACTTGGGATTTCATCAAACCTTGGGTGGGAACATGTCGTTTACTCGTGCCTGAATTATCGAAAATGAGATGAAAATTACAACTTAGAAGTAGGGGTGGCAATGGCATCCCTACCCCTACAATATGCTAAAAACCTAAACTTAGATTTGGGTTTTATCATATAAAATAATACTTAGGGTGCGTATAGTTCAGAAAATATTGTAAAACTAGGAATGTTAAATTAACGTAAAGATAAATTACTTTAAAGATTATTAAGAATGTTTAGAAAAATATGGTTGGTTAGGTTGGAATAAATTGGTGGGTATGTTGTATTATTATGTTTGATTGGAAAAAGTAAATTAGTAGATATGTTATATAGATTACTAAATTGTTCTCCTTTTTAAATAGTAATATAAGATTATTATAATTATTATTATTTGAATAATTTCTTTTAATCCGCTACATTTGAGATTTTTTCAAAACACCTTAGAAAATAAAAATATTCAGATTATCACCTGTATAATCAGCAATAATTACGATTGGTTTTGAAAGATTATTAGAATCTTATATTACTTGATAACCAAACATGATAATTTAAGATGCCATTACTCAATAACGAGGGATAACCCCGAAACCAAACACCTCCTTGATATTTTACAAAATATTCTAATTATAATTCATATATTAAACGCGGATCTAAAGTCCCCGTCTAGGCCCAGTCGGATTGCAATAACTCGGGCCTAAACTAATCCGAGGCTGGCCCAGGATGATCCGAGTGAGCCTAAGGTTTTAGGAGTCCTTTTGGAATGGGAAGGACAAGTGTTACGTACTTTAAAATTTAAATGGAGTCTGAAACAGAAATGCACTCGGCTTATGTTTGAATCAATTATTAACGGGCACGTGACGTCCATTCCCATTTGGTTCCAAATCAACTTAACTTTTACACACAATGAACAGTATATTTTTAACAAGTCCTTTAATCATTCGATTTCGCAACATGTTGCCGCTAATTGTCAAAATCAATCTCTGTATTAAACATGTCGGCAACCCCCAAAACTGGATTTCATGGATAATAATTCGAGACTTGCTTTCATGGAAAGTCCCTCGTGGGCCTTTTCATGGCTTCTTATAATTTGTCATGAACGTATTAGAAAACCGTAAGCGCGTGATATTAGTCATGAAATCATTGGTCCACGTACTTCATACGAGAAAAATTATTAATTTAATTTGTGGCCAAAGATTAATGAAATTTCCAAGTATTTATTACACGTAATCAGATTTAGATTTTGCCAGAGATAAAGACCTTCAGTCAAGTGACCTCTCACCTTCTGACATTAACTTATCCATTATGCAAAATCCCCGCATTAAAAATATCAACAAATCTGATGTTGACATTACCAATTCATTGTTACAGTCTCGTTATTACTGTTGGCCAAATAACTTTTTTCATCCGTTGAATTCTTATAATAAATTAATTAAACGTGAGCTTTCTACTGTGAATTTATACAATATCTTAGTCGCAGTCATAATTAATTACTAATCTAATTATTGTCAAAGTTTTCTTCGTCATACAGAAAAAGACACGTAATTAATTTACTTCACGAATTAAATCCAGTTGATTTTCAACATTCAGACATGCCTATTTCCCCGTCTAACATGGCAATTTCTCATAGGACCACGTTTCCAGTCGGTTTCTGGGACCCACTAAGCATTACTATACGAAATGACAAATATCTCCATACAACCCGAAAAATATATCCAAATCGAGTTTTACCCGGGACCCAAGAAAGCACCTGGCCAATCTAGGATCTGCACGTGTCCCTCGACACGTGTTACTAAAATCTAGTGCCAAATCCAATCCACTCGTGCTCTTCCCAGTCAACTCAGCAAGCCCGATTGCATAATTATTGCCACGTGTCCCCTATGATTTTTCTAGTTAATCTTAACTCCACTCCCCCCTTCTATATTTGGACCATCTCTTCGTTTTCACGTTCAAAACCAAAGTTGTAAAAACACTCGCTCTGTTTTTTTTGTTTCCTCTGCAATGATTAAAAAGTCAGATCAACTCAATCGCCGGATTTTGTCGTTTCCAGCGGTTCACCCTTGCGAGAGAATTTCTCCGGCGATCCTTCTCGGTTCTTTAATAACTCTCTCTCACACCTTATGCAATTACCAGTCTAAGTTATTTGCAACTCAACGAAGAAATGCCCGTGAAACTATTCGCATGATAGGAATTCTTTTGATATTCTTCGAGGAGATTCGGGACCGTGGATGGAGTCTTCCGGATTCAGTTGGTCTTTGCTTCACTGAGCTTCACCTTACCTTTCAAAAAGTTCAATTCTTGATGGAAGATTGCACGAGAGAAGGCGCTAAGCTCTGGATTCTGATGAAGTCTCAGTTCATTGCTGCTCAATTTCGTGTATTAATTCGGGCAATCTCTACGGCCCTGGATATTTTACCACTGAATTTAATAGATGTTTGTGGCGAAGTGAAGGAATTAGTCGAGTTGGTAGCCAAGCAGGCGAGGAAGGCAAAATTTGAGCTTGACCAAGATGATGAACGAGCCATGAAACGAGTTCTTACAATATTGAAATATTTTGAGAAGGGCATTCAGCCTGATTTGGAGTTTGTGAAGTGGGTTCTTGATTATCTTGATATTAGAAGCTGGAGTGATTGTCACAAGGAAATCAAGTTCTTGGAAGAAATTATAGCTACGCAAAGCTCTGTTTTTGAAGAGAGGGAGGTCCCGTTTTTAAGTAGTTTAGAGGGGTTCATGAGCTATTGTAGAGTAGTTATTTTCGATACTGTAGATTACCGAAACCATGATCAAACTGAAGTCAGGTGCAATTTGGAGACGCTTAGTTGCTTGAATCCTGAGGACTTCCGGTGTCCCATTTCACTCGAGTTAATGACTGATCCAGTGATAGTATCTACCGGACAGACTTATGATCGATCTTCGATTCAGAGGTGGCTCAAAGCAGGGAATATGATGTGTCCCAAAACGGGGGAGAAACTAACAAACACAGAGTTGGTCCCCAATACAGCTCTGAGAAAACTTATTCAGCAGTTTTGTGCAGATAACCGCATTACGCTTGCTAAAACCGGTAGAGAAAGTCGTGACATAACGAGGACGATTCTTCCGGGTAGTCCTCCGGCCGCTGAAGCTATGAAACTTCTATCAAAATTTCTTGCAAGAAGGCTTTTTTTGGGAACAAATGAAGAGAAAAACAAGGCTACCTACGAAATTCGTTTGTTGGCGAAATCAAACATTTTCAATAGGTCTTGTTTGGTTGAAGCAGGCACAATCCCACCTCTTTTATCTCTTTTATCTTCGTCCGATCGGTCTGTACAACTAGAAGAGAATGCAATAGCTGCTTTATTGAAGCTCTCAAAGCACACTAGTGGCAAGAAAGTGATAGTTGAATATGGGGGACTGAAAGAGATACTTGCAGTGCTCAAATCAGGCCTAAGTTTGGAAGCACGGCAGATAGCAGCTGCTACATTGTTTTATTTGTCTTCCGTCAAGGGGTATAGAAAGTTGATCGGAGAAACACCACAGGCGATCCCAGGTCTTGTGGAGCTGATCAAGGATGGTACAAATTGTGGAAAGAAGAATGCAGTGGTTACAATATTCGGGCTGCTTTTGTATCCTAGAAACCATGAAAGAGTGCTCGCTTCTGGTACTGTTCAAGTGCTGGCTGATATTCTAGCTTCCTCATATAAAGCTGAACTTATCACAGATTCACTAGCAGTCATTGCAGCTTTAGCTGAGAGTATTGAAGGAACATTCACAATTCTTCAGACTTCAGCTTTGCCTGTAATTGTGGGGCTATTGCAATCGTTAACATCTCGAGCGGGGAAGGAGTATTGTGTCTCGACACTACTGTCCTTGTGCAGCAATGCCGGTGAAGAGGTGATAGCAATTTTAGCCAAGGACCCTTCACTGATGCCTTCACTGTATTCTCTCATAACAGATGGCTCATCTCATGCAAGCAAAAAGGCACGCTCGCTCATCAAAATTCTACAGAAATTCCATGAAACAAACTCTTCTGGTTTGATGGGTTCTAGAGTTCGACATGAACGACCACTTCATGTCAGGTAGCTAAATTAATTGTTTTAGAATTTAGATCCATTCTGCTGTAAATACATGTATTATACTAGATGGTGCGTAGATATATATACTTTATTGTTTTCCCTATTTGATGATTAGCTCAGTTTTTTCAAGAGCTAATTGTACCATGTTAGTCTGCCTAGTAAATGCAGAGACACACAAAACATATATTTGTGGTTTGATCATTTTTCAAGTAATAAATAAAAAAGATGTGTGATATATGAATTCAATTATATAGTACTAGTTTGATTCTTCAATTTCTTCCTTCTCATGTTCGAGTAATCCAAATTCAGATTAACCACAGTTTTTGTGTCTCTATCTGCAGAAAACTCAATTATTTGTATTTTGTTAGGCAAATGGTGACGATCAGTGGTCCACCAACCTTCAATGTACATGGCAAGTCGTTTTTCTTCCATTTAAAATAGGGGAAACGACTTACACCTACCCAAGGTTTGGAGAAATGATAGATTGATACCCAAAAGAGTATCTTCCATTAGGAAAAAGACTAGAATGTCCTTTGAGAAATATTAATCTATTTTTTTAATTGTTTTTAGTCCCCTTAAGTTTATTAATTCCATCAAATACCCCCAGAAAAAAGTTTAAAAATTAACAAAAATATCCCCACCCACCCATACTTGCCAGATTCCGACGGCCACCGTCGGAATCTGTCACAATGGTCTACGCCATCACCAGAAATGGCCAGTAGTTCATCGATGGCCAGATCCATCACAGATATGGCCAGAAAAGGCTAGATCTGGTCGTCGATGGCCGTAACACTCCATCTTGACGGCCAAAGATGTGGTCGTCGTTATCTGTCAACGATGGCGAAGCAGTTCTTTAGCCATAACTTTCCGGCTAGATCTGACATTTTCACGTCAGATTTGGTCTTTTCCGGCCAGATCCACTGTATATCTAGCCGGAAAAGACCAGATCGGTGAATTACTGGCCATTTACGGTGGTGACCGTCGGAATCTGACAAGTATGGGTGGGTGGGGGTGTTTTTGTTAATTTTTAAACTTTTTCTGGGGGTATTTGATGGAATCAATAAACTTAAGGTGACTAAAGTAACTTAAAAAATAGACCAATATTTCTCAAAGGGCATTCTAGTATTTTCACTAACGAAAGGTATCTATTTGTCATTTTGAAACTTTTTGGATATTATTCTGTTGTTTCGCCAAACCTTGGGTAGGTATAAGTCGTTCGGCCTTTAAAATAATCGATAAATAGTTTAAAATAGCATTACCATGATGGTGGCTTATCTAAATTGTGAATTTCATTACTTTTATGATTAAAAAAAATTTCACCTCAACACTCCAAATAAATAATTTAAATTTTATGTCAATAAGATATATTTTTGCCATTTTACATGATATATAATTTTAAAAGAGATCATTTGAAATAATATAAAATAATTTACAAAATCTAAAATGAGCATAGGAAACATAAAACCAAAAGAGAGTTTTGTTTTTACTAATCGAACAAAAATAGAATTTTGTTAAACAAACATCACGTAATTAATTTATTTAAAATCCTTTTAAAAAAATTTAATTTCAATAATGTAATGAAGATTTGTCTTATTCCCTTATTTTAAAAAGAATTTACATAATTATTATATATAAGAAGAAAAAAAAAACCGAAAATTTTGCGGTATTACGGAACGCCATCGTTTCAGTAATTATCCTTATTCTTCTTTTCCAATTAAACCTGGATATAATTCCCGTCTGAACCAGAACTTTGTAGCACAGTCAACTAAACCCTTATTCTTAGTTGATCGTCAGCAGTTATTTTTTTCTTCATAGCAAGTGTTTGTGTCTGCTGTGAGCATAGTAATGGCGACTGAACCAAAGACAGTGTCTGAAGATGCTAAGATCGATCTGTTCGAAGATGACGATGAGTTTGAAGAGTTTGAAATTAACGAGGGTATAACACGATTTCCTATTTCTTTCATTTCAAGAGTTCGATATTTGCCTCAATTACAAGAGAAATTTTATTATTCTGCATTAGCAGATTATATTGTCTTTGCTTACTAGTTTAGGTTTTATCTTGAAATTTACATTAAGGCATGCCATCTGTCTAGAAATTTCCTTTGTCTGTTGTAGTTTTAATGTTGGTTCTTAGCGTTTAGTTTGAGATTTGAAATTTGGAATGCTGAATTTGTTGTTTACTTTTTTTAATTTTTTTGTATTTATAATGAATTTGACAGAGTGGGATGATAAGGAAGAAGGGAATGATATAACACAGCAGTGGGAAGATGATTGGGATGATGATGATGTCAATGATGATTTCTCTCAACAGCTAAGGAAGGAACTGGAGAACAACACCGAGAAGAACTGAGCCGATTTTAGTAACTTCTGTTGTTTCAACTCGAGATGAAGCTTTTTATTTTTCATATGGTTGTCTGCAAAACGTGTATGACCTTTTAATTCATTGAAATTTAGAAGCTTAGTGCAAACTGTTAGTGTGGAACAAAATGTTATGATTTTGTGAAGTCATTTCTAAACCTTGTTAGATTTATATGCACTTTGATTTTGGGTGGGATTTTGACTGTTTGTTTAGGTGCATGCAATGAATGGATCTTATGGTTGTTTGTGCACATGTTGATGCAGAAGGATATTTGCTGTCTAAGGTGATACTTAGAATGGTCAAAATACCGTCCCCCAACCACATTATTGTGGCTGGTTGTTGCATTAGTTTCTAAATATTGTTTCGCTGGTCTGTGTCTTTGTTTTTGTGCACTAGTATTTTGTTCTTTTAGGCAAACTTGTTTAATTTGTTTATTATGTGACTGTTTGGTATGAAAGAGTTTAATATGGAGGCATGATCTGTGTGATTTTGCATGTTATGTTATGTTGGAAGGTGTGGGGTAGATTGAAATATGAATTTTGTACCTAAGCCAGTAAGAGTGATGGGCGAATGCTATGTATTTTCTTGAATAAGGTTTAGAAACTTATTTTTTTTTTCCTTCTAAATCCTTTTTACCCCAAGGTCATTCTCTGTATTTATGTCAGCTGGATTTCATTTTAAATTGTTAGAATATGAGAGAAAGGCCGAGTTATGGCAAGGTTTTTCATCTTGGCTACACATGGAACATGCATTCTTCCGGTTTACTTGATTATACGTAATAGTGTGTACATAATATTCATTGAATATATGGTTTTGTTGCCAATCCACGCGAGGCAAAGATCTCTCCTTAAGCTTCTTTATTGATATCCATATTTGAAAACTACAATAGGATAGTCTGCTTGAGCCTGTGAAAAGCTGAGTGCTGGCATGAATAATCAGCCTAAAAATCTTATTTGTTTAGATGAGGTTCTATAGCTATTGGAAGATAAAATTGTATCAATGCCTTGTAACAGCACTGTTTTGTACGGTTCTTTCATGTACTGTTAACTTGAGGGTTTCTATTATAAGAAATGTCATCTTTGTGGGAATTATTCATTATATAGTTGTGCGAAATAATGTAGCATTATGATTGAAATGGCTAATCCTGGTCAAGACCCACTGGGATTATATTCTGTAATAATAAGAGCAGCACAATCATTCATACTTGAACATAATGAGGCCTTACGTTGCTGTTCTTTGAGGAAAGACAATGAGAGAAGCTTACTAAGCAGGTACAGCACAAATTTGGTGGATTCTAATCATGGTATACTATATGTATGTCCACACGGCTAATTTCTCTTGCCAGGCCGATCTTAGTTTGTAATAGTTTACAAAATAAACCCCAAAAAAAAACACTAGACAAATGCACTTTCAAGACTACGCTACAGGTCACTTAAAAGGACGTACAAATCATTTTTGGATGGAGTGCGACCGTCATGCTATATGAAACAGAAAACCACTTGCTTATTTTTGAATCAATTATTCAGGGGCACGTCGATTACCAATTGGATCCCAATCGACTAACGTTTACACCCAACCCAATTAACACATTTTTTGATTCATTTCTTTACATAACATGTCCACCTGTCGCAGATCGAGATCCAGTGGAAACAGCACTAGGAGCAGTAGCCATATCTAAATTTCAATTTTGTTGCCGTGCCTCCGTACTAAGATTGTGAAGGGATCGGGGTATCTTTGTGGGAATGATTCATTATAGTGTTGTGAAATAATATTGCATGACCATTGAGATTTGGGATTATATTCTGTAATCTGTATGATAAGAGCAGCACAATCATTCATCCCTTAACACAATGATGCCTTGCGTGCTGTGAGGATAATTCCTTCTTTTAGGAAAGAAAATAAGAGAAGCTTATTAAGCAGGTACAGCGCAAATTTGGCGGATTCTACTCATGGGATATGTCCATGCGGCTAATCTTAAGCTAGCTACAAAATAAACAAATACAAATGCAGGGAACAAGCCCATATCAAAACGCAGGTCATTCCTCACAATGTAATTTATGATCTACAGTGCTAAAACCTACCTATTTCTAGTTTGAACTGCAAGTTTTCTATTTCTGGAGTTGATGCAGAACTACTGATAGATGGAAATTTATCAAAAACAAAAGTGGGAAACGAGAAAAAGCCAAATCAAACTGTTACCTGTTATTATTTGTTGCTCCAAAGGGGCAAATAACATCATAACAACCATCCTTTAAAGTAACCTAAAATTCACAGAAACTGCAAACAGCACTTGGAAGTTGAAACCCAATTCAATAATCCTAAAAATAAATGCTTACCCGATGTTAATTCCAACAGCTCCTCCTTCAAAATCACACCAAAATATTTAGAGGACCAACTCTAGTCCGACAAATTGGACAGATGGGTGTCTTCAGCAACCATGACTCTATACACTCAGCGTGAAAAGTATGCCCGCAGTTTGGCAATAACCGGCAATTTTCTCCCAATTTGAAGTTCTCCAAACAGACAACACAATCCACAGGGCCACTCCCTCTATCCGCTGCAGCCTTGTATTCAAAGCAAGGAAGCTTCTTCAAGTCCTCATTCGACATTTTGGTTTCACTATTGTTGCCAAGAGCCAAACCAATATGCTCATTGCCTCTACTGAATGCCCTTACAACAATACAAACATGAATAACTGCCAAAGCTACAATTCCCAAAAACAGTAACGTCAAAGAGATTAAAATCTCCATAACCATTCTCTCTTTTTGAGAACCCAGGAGGAGTTTACGTTACAACAATTAAAACTTCAATTTCTTGCTCTATTTTCAGTCAAAATCTCATCATTACACTACATCTGTAAATAGATGAAAAATCTCTTTACGTTACAACAATGAAAACCACAAGTCATGCGTCTCAGAATCATTCAAGCAAGCCATGAAGAAAAAAAAAAACCTCAGAATTTGAGTTTGGGAATTCAGGTGTTAATCAAAGGGTGAAACAGAACAAATATTAGAGGAGAGAATCGCAGTTACATTTGTTGTTTGATGGCTGAGAAATGAGAATGTTCATGGGTAATCAGAACATGAAGGTGGCATGATGTTACAAGTGGGCAGGAGGCCTTGTCCTTCTTTATGTCATTTGATAAGAAATGTTAAGTATGATAAATTACTAACTGTCATTATTAATTTATTATGTTAAAAGAAGAGGACAAGAAACGTTTTTGGGTAATAAATACAAATTTCTTCATAAAATCAAATGTAAATTCATACATTGACATTTTAGGTACAAGCGTTTATCTAACTCATTAATACTAATTTCGTTGAAAAATAGTAAAATAAATTTCAGAGCCCTCTTCGTATTCCCATTGTTGGTGTATATATATTACGGTAAACGACTTTTTCCCACCCAAAGTTTGCCTTGATGACATTTTTCTATCAAAAAAGTTTCAAAATACCATTTTTTTACCCAAAGTTTATATTCTGTTAATACCGAAAATACATTTTACTTTCTTAGCCGATGTTTAATATGAGATTTTTTTGTAGAATTTAATTTTTGTAAATTAGGTACAGAAAAGAAAGGTTATCAATAATATTAGTTGTTAATAATAGGGTCTACATTACAACAAAGTCGTTAATCATTCAAGGATCTATATATGATGTTGCTTTAAGCTTAAGGTAAAGTTATCATCATTTTACTCAATGAATTAATTATATGGAAAATTTAGTTGGCCAATGGCAAATGAGAAGGATTATATATTATGTTCAATATTTACTTTTCAGCAATTACCTTTCTTGGATCTTTGTCCCATTTCTCTTATATATAAATGTTGTTGCTTTAAAATAAAGAGAGAAATCAACGTGAACGATAGCAAACCTTAACCTATTTACATTATGACAAGCTCTATATATTTATTAGAAAATTATTCATGGCGACGGGACTTCTAGTTCTGGCCTGATCATGGAGTTGATCATCAGTTCATTAACAAGAAGCCAATAACACTGTCAAAAATTGTTTAAAAGATTTGAAATTTCTGATAATATAGTTACTTTTATTCAAATATCATCCAATTTTTAGTTTAAAGTATATAAAATAATATAGTTATTATTGATAAAATAATTACTGAAGCATAGTATAGTATGTTGAACTTAGATGTGTAAAAGGACGTACGCTGAATTAAATAAAGCTGGGGAGGTAGCCGTAGAATTGAGTGATTACAAAAGAAAGCGTAAAAACTTGAGAGCCAGCCATAATATTACGGATAAAATGAAACACAGAATGTCGCCAATTGCGTGAAGCCAAGCTTTTTTTTGCAAAACGCAAATAACTATATAATTCTGCAATTGGTCTTCTAGTTTTTCGCAGTCCATTCTGGTCAAAACAATATCCATAGCCATATGCTTACACTATTCCACGGTTTTGCATACAACCAAGAAGCCAGAACTTGAATATTGTCAAAAGAGAGAGTCAACTTTATTTTCAGTAATTGTGAATTACCTTATCCAACGACATATTAACTCACCTACTTTCTTTTTCTTCTTCGTTTGCTTTTCTACTCAAAATTATGAAGTTCGATAACACTACCATTAGAACCGTTGTAGGCATTGCCGGTTAGTCCTCCAAACCCCATTATTCATTTATTTATGCATGTGCAAGCATACAGCTTGAAGACGCATCCATATATCGTCTTTATCTAATGGATTTAATTTCTTATAATTTTGGCAGGAAATGTCATTTCTTTCGGCTTGTTTCTTTCCCCATTGTAATTAAACTTCTCCACTTTTAAACTATCACATTGTATTTAATATTCAATGAGAAGTTAATTGGTATTTTAGTGAATTGAAGTTGATTAAAATATGTGGATGAATTAATGCAGCCCAACAATGGTGAGAATATGCAAACAAAAAGCAGTACATGCGTTCAGGCCTGATCCATACTTAGCCACTGTTCTGAATTGCATGATGTGGTTTTTCTACGGTCTACCCCTTGTCACAGAAGACAACCTTTTGGTTTTTACTATCAATGGTACAGGTTTAGTTATGGAGCTCAGCTATGTCGCCATCTTCTTCATCTATTCTCCCTGGACAAAGCGCGTACGGAATTATATATTCATTCATTCATTCAATCAATCATATAAGAGTTTAATTAATGATTTAATTTACTATTTGTTTTCATATAGAATTAATTATAAACAAAAAAAAAAAAATTGTTATTGCATAATTTCAGCGGAGGATCATGTTTGTTCTTCTATTTGAAGTGGTATTCGCAGCTGTTGTGGTTTTCGTTACCTTATTTTTTTTCCATACCCTTAAAGATAGAGCTATGGTAGTGGGCATAGTGTGTATCATCTTCAATGTGATCATGTACACTTCTCCTTTAACAGTCATGGTAAGTCAATCATTCATTGCTTAATCTGATTATAGTTTTAATTAATGTACTAATTTTGTTCCCTTTTCTTGCAGAAAATGGTGATCAAGACAAAGAGCGTTAAGTACATGCCGTTTACTCTCTCATTAGCTAACTTCTTGAATGGTTGCATTTGGGTTCTTTATGCAATTCTTAAATTCGATCCATACGTCTTGGTAAGATAGCATTCAACAAGAAGAAGAATTATCAAGTTGATGTAAGATAGAATACTCTAATCCCAATATTTATATATTTGTTTTTGTAGATACCCAATGCTTTAGGAACATTATCTGGTATAGTGCAGCTAGTACTCTACGCAGTTTTCTATAGAACAACAAATTGGGACGATGATGATGAAGAAGATAGACCACCCGAGGTTCAACTCGCCAGTGCTTGATCACCCTCTCCATTCCCACCATGCAGCTTTCTAAATTTTGATATGATATGTGATATAGTTTTTGTGACTAAAATGTAAAATGAACAACAATAGGGTTGTATTTGTAACATCCGTGTCAAGATTCTTACTTGAAGTTTTGTTTTAGCTGGAACAGAACCTTGTACACGAATTTATGTTGCTTCCATCAGTTTTAACTGCAGTATCATCACAATTCTCAACCAGCAAATGAGTTTAATTTTCTGATCAATAAGAAACTGGTACAAAAGATCGAACAATGATTAAGGTATTTAAACTTCACTTCATGCAACATTGTCGTAAAGAACAAAATGAAACTTCAGTCATCGGGTTTAGCCACCAAGTAAAAGTAGAGCCAGATCAGCTAATTAAATCATCACAATAATGTTTATTAATTGGCATATAAAAAGGGTTATCTTACAGGAAGTAGGCAAGGCCAATCCATCACCAGACTGGCACTGGCAAGTCAAATAAATACACAACTCTGGAACCCCAAAAAGAAAAAAAAAAAAAAAAAAAGAGTAACAATAGAAAAGCTTTACACTATTCAATCAAGTGAGATGTAGTGCAGGTCCACGGGCTGTACTCACCACTCTCCTCTTCTTTCCATTTATATGCTAATTCATTTTCATTCCTCGCACATATATTTTTTGGATCTCTCGGATATTAAAAACACCTCAACCCTTCATCTGCTTCAAGGCCCTCGGTACCTTCTAAAGCAGAGACAACCTTGAGCCTGATCAACAGGGATCATACCACCACCCTTTGATGTGTCAATGGCCTCCATCATTGAAACTACCTCATCCATCTCAGGCCGTTTATCAGGATTAGCATCCCAGCACCGCTTCATTACATTTGCTAGAGAACTTGGGCAACATCTTGGGATCTCTGGTCTCAAATTCTGTTTCAAGATGGATATTATTAAAATCAAGACATCAATAATTTTTTGGTGTAATTAGTCTTTTCAATGAAGCCTGATTTTAAAGATCCTCCATGTTGAATGAACAAAAAATAATTGGTGTACAAGCAGATACCATACCTGGCGAACCACAGCTGAGGTGACTTCTGAGAAACTAAGGTCAGGATATGGCATGTCACAGCAATATATCTCCCATAAACAGATGCCAAAACTGTAGACATCACATTTCCTGTTATACGGGTTGCCATTGAGAACCTGAAAGCCACCCATTAATTTGATGAGTCACAGATCATTCACGTTTTTATAATGTTTTTTGGCTTTTTTCATCTTTAATTCAAGTTCACCCACATTCAGTTTAAGTAAAATTCCTACTTACAAGATACTCTAAAGCCAAGAGTTCCCATCAATAAATGCCCATATACAGGTGCATCTACTAGGCCCGACATCTATTGATTATGTTTTTCAAAGAAACACAGAAAGAGAAGCAAGCACTCAGCTAATTTTCTTAAAATCCAAAATCCCATATAAGTTATCACAAAGCACACAACAAATATAATATAAAAGGATAGTAAAAAAAGCAATAAAAATAAACTTATACCTCAGGAGCCATGTACCCAAGTGTTCCTGTCTCTCCAGTCATATCATTAGGATTTGAAGCTTCGACACGAGCAACACCAAAATCAGCAATTTTTACAGCACGTGTCTTGTCCAACAGCATGTTTTCTGTCTTTACATCTCTGTGAACAATCTTCTGTGAATGAAGGTAACTCAACCTACAAAATATAAGAGATTTTGAGCTCTTAATTCCCTCGCTGGACAAAAGTTCAAGCCATACATCATCCTTTCACAGACAACAACAGTACCAAAAGTAAACAAATGACAAACAGAACTGGGATAGATGTAGGTACCCTCTAGCAATATCAAGTGCTAGCTGCACAACCACTTTGAAAGCTAGTTTCCTTCTCCTGTTCTTTATGAGGTAAGATTTCAGAGCACCCCCAGGAAGATATTCAACAACAACACAACATACGCTACTTGGCATGCTAATTTGACCATTATCAGTTTGTATTTGTAGGTCCGATGAGCCGATTGTTGCCCCAATAAACTGGAATGAGTAAAAAACTACCAACTTTAACTCTCATATCTCAGACAGTAACACTAGCATGTGTAAAATATTTTCTTCGAGAATACACATCAATAAAACAATCATAAGCCTTTTACATATATCCAAGCAGATTTCTAATTCTTAGCCCTTTAACAGATCAGCTGTATGACATCCAAACCAAAGGGAAAGCCGCTGCTCCACCAGCAGAGTATACATTTTAGAGCCACCAAATCTTTAACAATTTTGCGCCAATTGATCACTAAAGTCAAGAAACTCATAGGGTGTAATACTTTTATGAGGTGTTACTACATCCTATCACTAAGAAAAAAGATATTAATCATTTTCAGTTTCATGTAAAGACAGTAACTGAAGTGACCTATAAACAAGCTTCCGACAAAAATCAGGGCTGAAGAATAAGACAACACTTTACCCACAGTTTCAAAGAAAAGACTAGATGACGAAACAATGGATACAAGCTAAATCAGTGGATGTCCAATCAAAATCCTAATCAGGAATGTGAAACCCCAACACTAAAAATCTTTTAAAACTAACCTAAAAGAATAATGAAACCTCACCACTAATGACTGCCTTGAATACTTTTCCTCAAAATGCTCACAATACGATATTATTGGCTTCAAGATGCAAAGCTATGGCATTTCTAAGTACTTGCAGACTTCTTGGCCTTCTCTACTAAAAGGAAAGCAGTGGGTAGTTAATTGAGATTGATGTCATCAATGTCCAAGGTGTTTTCAACAATGCAAATGTTAACTTTTGTTTTTTCTTTTACATCTTTGACCACAAAAGCTAGCCATGCAAATTCTCATACAATTATGAAGCTTTTGAGAAGTTAATGCTATTCAGGTTCTATATTTGGAAAAAGAAAATGAAAAGAAGGCAAAATTTTGAAAAGTAGAAACTAACCTTAGTAACATTAGGATGATCAAGTTTATGCCAGACAGCGACTTCTTGTGTAAAAGCTAACCTTAACGAGCTAATCTCAGCTTCTGTCCGATGGCCCTCCTCTCCCCAATCAAGCAACTTAACTGAAAAATACGAAATTACTTTCAGTGAAACTAAAATCAATTATATAAGTATTAATGCAATCAAATATTAAAGTTGGACATACTCAGATAAAAAAAGAATAGATCTACCTTAGTTGTATTAAAATTTAAGGAACTGATAAACATCATAATAATTGTTATTATAATTTTCAGAATTGGCATCATAATTTCTAGCTACCAGTCAGGCTCACTATATTTTCCACTATTTTATTGACATGAAACAAACAGATGGGATCACAAGAAAGTTGAGAAGTCCAATACCATCCAAGTTCAGGCTGTAACTAGCAGAATTCAACTCAACCCCGTGCATGAGTCACGGATTTCATAAGACTCCGTTTACCATGCCCAATCCATAAAACTCAAATATAACAAAAACCCAGAATTTTACTAAAAGGATCAAACCACAAAGAAATTAAATAACCAATAAAAAACAAAAAAATTATGGACTCTGTATCAGCTGTTTAAACAAAAATATGCATGTTTAGTCATATTCACTTGTGCAAACCAACTGGGTAGGATTTTAAACAGCTAAAAATTCTATACTGGAAATGAAAATCAGAAAAAGGGGGCAAATGGGCATTTAAATCTAAGAGAAATAACAAATTTTGAAATGTAACTAATTATTATTATCATGACAATACAAATTAAAGACGGAATTTTGAGCATAGCCGAAAAATAAAACATAAAATTAGAAAGAGTAACGATGAATATAAATGACTGACCAGCGACATCCTGACCGTCGTAGATGCCACGGTGGACAGTGCCGAAGGTGCCACGAGCAATGACACTCTTGATGATGAGTTTAGTAGGATCGGTCTCCCAGTCTTGTCTTTGTTGCTTCTTAAAAGTATTGGGGGTTGCGGTGGCAGCCGCCGTAATCAGAATATTATCATCAGAATTTCTTTTCTTGGTCTTCTCCATAGTCAATGCTCTATTCAAGTGTCTCTCGAGTTGTTCATCCAAACTTTTGAGATCAATCTGATCCGCTCTCACGAACCCATCATTGTTTTCCTTCATTGTTTCGGTGTTTTCTGCTCAAACTGTGTGTCTTCTTCTCCGTTACTTTGGTTTAAGTCTTCTGGCTGTTGCTGTTAATGTTCACTTCTTGTTCTGGTTATGTTTTTTCCACAAAATTTTGTTAAGTCCTTCAAATGAAAGCATGTGGGCACATGGCATTGCCTGAACACGGCGTGTGTGCTGACCCACTCTCTTCTCTCTCTCTCTCTAATTTCACATTCGTCTTCTTTGTCCTATTTAATTTTTTTATTCATGATCGCCCTTCAGGTATATATCCTTCAACACCCTTATAGTTTAAATATTTCTCATTAACGTCCCCTAGAAATTTCCTAACTATGTTAGGCTGTTTCTATAAGAATACTAAAGATTAGGAAAAGTCAGTGAAATTAGAGATTTATTTATTTATTTATTGTTATCTCCCAAGTCCCAACCTACCATTATTATTCATTGTGAAAGATAAAATATTACTTTTATTCCCTTGGAGTCCCTATGCATTTTAGTATTTACTTCGATTTTAATAGATTTATATTTAATAGATTATTTATTACAAAGTCATTCATTTTAAGTTAGACAAATTTAAGACACTTGTATTGTTTATTTTATACTAGACCAACAAACATATTTCAAAAACTTTCTATCACAACAATAACATAACAGATCACAATTAGTCAGTTCACAACGAGTCTCACATGGATCCTACATGAGTCCCACTAATTAATTATAAGCTGACCAATTGCAAGCTGTCACGTCAGGGTTGTGAGAGAAAGTTTGTGAGAAATAGTTATTGGTGTAGTATTACTTTAATTCTATTTGAGTTTGATGTTATTTAGGGGGTTGAATGAAAAATTTGAGAAATATAGAAGATGGTTAGGGACAAGACAAAGACTTTGTAACAGGGCATTAATGAGAAATGTTGAAGTATATGGAAGATGGCATATGGCAGTGATATTTCAGAAACGTGAAGCCACAATTTGGATATCAAAACTTTCAAATCTACAGTATCAGAAAGAGACCATTTGGTTCATGAGATTGCTTTCTTCACGCTCATTCTAACCATTTATTATTATTATTATTATATAATCGATCAAGAAGCAAAACTTACAAGAACAAACTTCCTCACGTCTATTAATCCATCACGTCTATTAATCCATTTTTAAACCTGGAAATTAAATTAGTTGCATGCAGATGATTGAAATGGTGTGGTCCTTAGTTCAGACAAACCCTGAAGCAGAATATGTGATGATCTCTCAAGGGAGGGCCATGAAGATTATTAACCACAAAACTTATGAGTTGCAGAAATATTGTTATCTTTTGTTTGTTTGTTTATATATATACTCAATAATTATGCTTCTCCACCGACCCTGTGTGTTGTTGCTTCAATTCATGTAAATGGAGATGGACCTTTTTGCCCGACAAAGCTAATTAAACGCCATTATTAATTAGTTTAGGGTTTATAATTAACTAGATCTCTTCCTCACCATGCATTCACCTGTGGGATAAGATTTTGTCAGGTGATACTTATCCTTTAATTAATTACTTTCATAATGTTTCCGAACTTCATGAGGAAGTTGATTTGAGTATTAATTAGAGCAAATGGTATCAGATAAACTTAGCTTGTTCAAAATGATTCTGATCATAATAACTAAATCAAAGACTTCCGTAACAGATAAAACTCTCAAGCAAATGAATTCAAGCTACTTGTCGTAGCATGAATATTATTGAAATAAACTATGTGATGAGTTGAAATCAAGTCTAATTACATAATTGAGTATATTTTATTTTGGTAAGCAAATAAATAAGAGTAAACGGCTTTTTCCCACCCAAGGTTTGCCTTTATGACCTTTTCTCACCCAAAATTTTTCAAAATACCACTTTCTCACGCAAAGTTAATATTTGGTTTCTACCTAAAACCGATTCTGACTGATTCTGGTGGCGAAAATTCTCTCCGTCACCACCATTTGGACCTCCAGTCTCCTCTATACAAAACTCTTCTCACTCTAACACCTGATTTTTCGTTAATTGTTGGCCACTGTAAAGCTATGGTTTACTATTCTTAACTTATTTATGACTGATTCTAGTGGCGAATATTCAATCGGTCACCACCATTTGATCCATTGACCTTCACTCTACAAAACTTCTCTTATTCTGGCTCCTGTTAACTCACCGAACGCCAGTTGAGAAAGTGAAGTGTATTTTAGGTATTAACGAAATATAAACTTTGAGTGGGAAAGTGGTATTTTTGAAACTTTCTGGGTGAGAAAGTGTCATTAAGGCAAACATTGGGTGGGAAAAGTTGTTTACTCTAAATAAATAATTGCAAAACTTGGATTACTTCACAAGTTGATGTATGAGGCACGTAATGACAACATCAAGGAATTAAAAGAGGAATTGTAATTAAATTCATCAACTGGCCATGGGAGAAGATAAGATCTGCAGACTATCCACTTGAAATGAAGGTTGGTTAAATTAGATCAATTGGGTTTTACATCTTAGTCTTAAATGAAATTAATTGGTGCATCCAAGTAAAAAATGTGTTAGGATAATTAATTAGGGCTTAAGGTGCATGCATAAAGCATAGCGGGTATTGTTGAATGAGAAGTGTTACTCTTACAAAGACAAATACAAAGGGGGCATACAAAGACAATTGCTACCCTTGATCTTCATGATTTCTCTCTCCCTCTTTTTCCGTTCTTTTTTTGTTTTTTTCTTCTTTTTGTAACCCTCTTTGTATAAATCTTTGTAAAGATAACATTTTTCTTGTTGAATATTGAAAATATTAAATTAATTAGATGGCATTGGCATGTGGTGTGTTGGACAATGGCATTGACCACCACAACGTTGTCACATTCTTATAATTTTAAATTCAAGATACAAATCTTTTAAGTTTATTTGGGTAAACACTTATCTTCTCCAAGTAAACTATCAAGGATCCATTGATGATGAAACCTGTGCATTATTGAATTAATTGTGTAGTTCATATTTGATAAAAGAGAAAGAAAGGGTCAAGTGATTGATTGTTATTTATTTCCACATATGAGATTATTTAGATAAGATACAGCCATCCAGTTTGACCGACCCAACCACAATACGATCACGCCAAGGCCTACATTTTTGACCTAATTTGGCCAGAAAGGCATTATGTGGTCTGCAGTCATGAACTTATAATTAAAATACCAATTTTTATCACATCAAAATTAAACTATGTATATGAATATAATTAACTTACTACTCATTGCAACATTTGCTTTACTTCTCACAACAATTGCATTTCTCTCTCAGTTCTAGTCTAGATGATCCTCTTTGAATTGATAAAACGTATGCCACCATATATATGATTAGAAAATCTGAAGATTTTTTATAATCAATTCCTGAAAGGTTAGAATATAAAAATGGTCACCCGAGTAATTTATTACCTTCTTCAAAATTGTTAAAAGCCAAGTGAAATGCGAAGACAATAAGTGAAATAAGCTAACTTAGTACAAAGTTGATCAAAATCCTCTTGCAAGTTGCTTGAAGTTGTGCATTGGTTGATCTTGAAGAATTCTCTTTCTTGCAAAGAATCCGACTACGTTTTTGAGGTCTGTTCTATATGGCAACCTCTTTGAAAATTACACCCGACTATGTTTTTTAGGTTTGTACCATTTTGCCTTCCATCAAACAAGAATGCATCTAAAAATGTTTTAATATTATATGATAAAATTTTTAGTAGTTGAAATGAATTTGGAGAAGTTCATTGTGGGGGTGTAACTGTAAAAAAATGAAAATTACAGAAATTATAAGGGTGTAACTGCAAAAATTGAAAGGATTGAATAGTATAGGTATCTGTTGGTCCACCCCTACCTGCATAGGGTAAGGTACGGGTCCAACATTTTGAGCCCGTTTATAACCAACCCGTTTTGGGCCCATACCCCGCCTAATTTGCCAGGTCTAATATTGACCACCTTATGTATCCCTTCTCAACATTGGTGCGTGATCTTCAAAAGGTAACCCCTCTAAACCTAATCCTCTATTTGTTTCGCGAGAAAATCCAATAAAGTAAACTTTACAATTTCTTTTTCAATTCCTACATGCTTATATTTCTAAAGATCAATGGTATACGTAGTTTTAGATTCAAAAGGAAGGTAAAAGACTTCTTTGAATCAGCCTGCAAAATCTTTTACTTTCATATAGATGAGAATTTGAAACTGAATTTTTTTTTTTTTTTTTTTGATTGCTTGTTTTTTCTTAGAGAAATAGCTTCAATTTGCTTCAGTTTGATCTATTGTTGGTGATACTATTTCGATTGAGAAATGAAACAATTTAATTTACTCAAAAATAAGAACTATGTATAGAATTTTATTATTTAATACTATAAGATGTCCTATTTTCAAGTTATAGGTTTTACGGGTGTGATATGGAGTTATGGTCGACTTTGTTTGTGTATAACTGGATTTCTTTTTTCTTTGTTTCCCTTGTATTTAATTTAGCCTCACAAAATTATTTTTTGATATTATTACTGTTCTTTTCTTTGAACCTGTTTTCTGTGAGGGTCTATCTTATCACTGTCAAATACAGCATTTGGTATGAATATGATCTTCTTCATAGTTAGAGCTTTGTGCTTCCTCTTGAATCTGCAGTTTGTTTTGTTACCACTGTAATGGTCAATTAGTATATAGTTGAAGCCTGTTGATTTATGTGTGATATCTTTATTTGCCTTCATTTTGTTTGAACTTAGTCCTAATTTCACATTAGCATATATCATTTTCTGTTTTTTGGTTGAAAAGAAGATTGATTTATCGACTTCCATAAATAAATGTGATCATTAAGGACATAGGGTTAAGATTGTTTGTGAATGGCCAGCTATACTGCATCATATTGGTTGTCTTCTTCAAAAATTGTTTGTACTATAATCACTGGTCAGTACCTTCTGTGTGCTGCACGATATATTAAAAGCTTATCAAGTTATGGAGAAAGAGGTTGCAATTTATTGAGTATAAGCCAGAAATTAATGAATATTTTACCATTATTTTGATAATTCTTTGCATCATGCAATATCTATCTTTCTACGTTACTAATTGATACTATAATTTTTTTGTATACAAAAAGGTTGAATCATCGTCTTTTGCTTAAAACAACCAATTAAATCTGCATTTCTAGGGTGCATCGTGCATATGAGCCTTGAGTTATGTTCAGATACTTTCTATATG